CTCGGCCAAATCTCAAAAAACTGACCACCCAAACCCAAGGACGCAACCTCTATCTCACTATTTAGTGCTTTCGCCTTCCACTGTTGTCGGTGCTTCCGGTGTCGGTGAGGGCACAGTAGCTGCGCTGGCTTTAAACTTCCTGCAAAGATGCGGGCTTAGGAGTTTGGGCTTAGGGTTTAGGGTTTAGGGTTTGGGGTGTAGGAACCTGGGTCAGAGACCCTGGCACTAGAACCCCAAAATAGAAGGATTCATATAAAGAACCGCAATAAAGACCTAGAGTTTCTGAATCAGGTTCCTACATAAAACCGTAAACCCTACGTGTTTTAGGGTTCAGGTTTAGGTGGAATGTGTGTTTGACCTTAGCGTCGGCGGTCTGGGGTGCTTATAGGGAGTTTTCAAAGTGGCGGATATTGGGGTTGACGGGTTCAGTGGTTTAGGACTTCGGATTTCAAGGTTTCGAGCTTTGGGATCTGGGAGCTTAGATGAGGCTTCAGGGGCTCTGATTGCGGCATCGACAAAGGGGGTTTAAGGTAAGTCGACTCGCCAGTTCGACGGCTGTGAACTCCACTTCCAGAACCAAAGTGCCCGATACCCCTTAATTAAGGAATGTACCTTAAATTATAGGGGCCTTAATATTATGATTTAAGGTATATTCCTTAATTAAGGGGTATTGGGCTCTCTGGGAAAGGTTTACAGCAGGCTCTTCGATCACATAATACGTGCTGCGAATCTAGACGAACTGCTGGCAAACCCTATAGGCCCTACAAGCTTTGTGATAAACCCTGACCGCTAAACCCTAACACCTTACGCCCCACTACAAGTACTCAGCCGGCTCAAACTGGATACTGACTAAACCCTAGACCCTGGACCCTAAACCCCCAAACCCAAAACCTCAAACCCCTACGGTTGAATGACCCCGGCTGCAGGACCCTTATAAGTATACTGTCAACTACAACAAGCTGAGGCTCAGGGCTTAGGGTTTATTGTCAAGAACCGATGCACTAAGGATCCACGAGAGACTTTTCAGTCCGAAGAGTCCAGAGATACCTAAACCCAAAACCTAAAATCACAAAAATCATGTGGGGGCCTTAATAAATAGAATAGGGTTTTCGGGTGTACTATACAGTTATACAATAATACAAAAAGGAACCCCACAGTAGTATAGGTAATTAGTAAGGCGCCCGTATTAAAGCGAGCCCAGAAGTACAATGCACCAACCCGTTCTTGGCCTCAGATGTTGGTACGCAATCTCAGGTAAGAGGGGGTTAACCTTTGAAACTATGGCTGTACCAACCCAAGAAGGCCAAAGGCTACCTGCCCAGCCCCTACTCCCGAACTTCCGAGTTGACAAGTGGATTTCTTTGGATCACTTCCCCTTAAGGACCGGGTATCCGGTACCCAAAGCCCAGGGGCCTGAGGCCTTAAAACCTAACAACATAGGGTGCAGGGTTCGGAAATGATTGACTTCAGGGTTTAGAGCAGCTCTGGGGGCCTTAGAGCTTTAAGGCTTTAGACTAAAAGCCCCAAAGGCGAGCCCTGAACTTGAAATCTGACAGCGCCCCTGATGGCTGTCAGGTGCAGGGATCTCCTAAATCCGAGGAACACCCGTGCCACAGGCCTCCATCCCACAGACTTGGGAGTTAGGATTAGGGGTACCCTTGGGGGTTATAGACCGTCTCAATAAGGTCCCTTTCAAGAGAGCTATAAGTAGGGTTAAGAAGCGTCCCCTTTAAGGAGTCTCCCTGATGCTACCGAGGATGTCTCTTCAGTAGTGGACTTCCTTGGCCCTACCATCCGGAGTTGACTCTCGGGCTTTACTGTTTCAGGCCGCCTTTCTCTTCGAGCTTAGGGTTTAGGGTTCAGGGTTTAGGGTTAGGGCTTAGGGTGTAGGGTTTAAGGTTCAGGGCTTAGGGGTGTGGGGTTTAGGGTTCAGGGTTTGTGGTTTGGGGTTTAGGGTTTAGGGTGCACCAGCAGCCCGATTGCATCTAAAACGAGATCAATCCCCCACTCTGTGACCGGGCTGCCTGGGCCTACGGGCTTTAGGCTTTAGGCTTTGAGGCTTTGGGTTTAGGGGTTTAGGGTTTTAGGGTTTAGGGGCCCTGAACCGTAAGCCTTGCTTGCAAAGGCACGCAACTGAAGGAGCGACTTTGTGCGCGTCTTTGCAAGGCCAACCACCTTCATACTTTACCTCGCATATGCTCAGGGAGCCCGTTACCCCAAATTCGGGACACTACCTTCTCCGGCTTATGTCTCTGCCTTAAAGAATACATCTCTTAATACGAACCATGGTTTTTGTAAGTGCAAGATTGGAGTTTTAACTAGGGAGTGTTGGGCGATCTGGATGAGGCGTTTGGTCGTTCCAGGCGGTGGGGTTAAGGTTCGGGGTTTAGGCTTTAGGACATGTTGAGTTTGTGCGCATCTGTGTTGGAGGCTTTGGGTCTCCCTCCCGGACAATCCCTATATAGGGGTTTTAGGTTTAGGGCCTTAGCGTTTCGGGCCGAGAGGTTCTTAGGGTTTTAGGTTTAGGGTTTAAGGATTGGAATTTTGAGGGTTTAGAGTTTACGGGACAAGGCTGGCACCTAATCGTCCACCGGAAGCAGCTGATCCGAAGCTGATCCGAATAAGATCACCCACGACTTACAGAGACGAGCCATGCTCCCAAAGATTCGACGCAAAACCCTGCACCCCATTTCTCCAAAACCCCATGCCGTCCTAGCCTGGAGCTCTTGGAAATCGGGATGCTCCTTCAGAAACACCTCCCGTGAGCTTCCGGGATAGCCGGATTCTATCTCACGGCTTAGGGTTTTAGGGGTTTAGGGGTTAGGGGTTTCAAGGCCTTGCTGGGGACTTAGATGTGGTGTTTACAAGGCATCTTCGTGTTCCTGGCCACCTGGACAGAAGACTGCTCGGCGCACACTGCGTGGAAGACAGGGGCTTAACATCCCAAGAGTTGATGAGGTCGATGCAGACTCTGCCAATCAGCTGGGAAACCCCAAACCCTGACCCCTAAACCCTTAACGCGAAGTATTACCCCCCAAATGGCTCGATGAGCTTGTTGATGCTAGGGTTTAGGGCTCTTACCCTAAGCCCTAAACCCTACACGCTAGTTCAACCCTAAACCCCAAACCCTAATCACACCCTGAACCCTAAACGCTAATTAAACCCTAAACCCTCAACCCTAATTAAACCCAAAACCCCGAACCCAAAACCGCCCTTCAGGGGCTTTGGGCTTGAGTGACGTCGTCTTCAGTTGGGGGATGCGGCGCAAAGGTTCAGAGGTTCGCTTTCTGGGGACGAGGGCATTTGGGTTTAGGGTTTAGGGTTTGGGGTTTAGGGTTTAAGTTTAGGGTTTAGGGTTGCGGACTCAGTAGAATAAGCAGGGCCTCGCCAGATCAACTATTAGCAATCCTAACTGTAGCTTAATTAATGGCGTTCAGCGATTCATCGCAACCCTAGTGTAACTATGCTCCCTCTAGTACTAGAGGATAAGGGCTTGGGTGTGTTACCCTAAGGCTTCATGTACCTGTATGTTATATACTTCGGCCTTAAAGCACATGCATAGGAACCCCGTTAAGGCCTAAGTATATACTATATCATCGGTACAGTACATGGTGCCCCAGGATTTGGCCATTCAGCCGGTTTCGGTAGGCTTTGGGGTTGCTGGGCTCGAAGCTTATGATTGCGCCCCACGCGAGTTTGGAGTTAGCAACGACTCTGGAAACCTGAGCTCGTCAGAGATAAAGACTCGAAACGAACACCGAAACCCCTCCACAACAAGCTCCGTTGCCCACATGGCCTAGCTGAGTCTAGACCTAGGCCCTAAATCTAAAACCTTAAACCCAATTAAAACCCTAAACCCCAACCCCCTAAAACACTAAACTCCTAAACCGTAAAGGCCCAAAACCCGAAACCCTGAAGCGAGTCGAAGTGAGGTCTTGTCTTTCAGGCCTCTGCTTCTGCATCTGCTGCTCTTGCTCCGATGCCCAGCCCAGTGCCGAAGGCAGTCAAGTAAAGTTGGCCCACCGTCGTCCCCTTCCAGGGTCTAGGTTCTCGCGTTTTCGGGTTTAGGGGTGTTGGGTTCAGGGGTTAGGCTTTAGGGGTTTAGGAGTGTTTTTTCCCTCTCGCATGGCGGAGAACTATGCCCACAAGCGAGGTTTAGGGGTTTAGGGTTTAGCTTAGGGTTCTAGGGCCCCTTCCCGAACTGGGAGAAACGATTGCCGGATCTTGCCGGATATAACCGACCATCCTTCCATCCATGCATGCATCCGACCCTCCATACGTCCATGTGGCATCGGAACATCCACCCATCTATCATACATATACAAGCTATCACCAAAATCTGCGGTGTTTAAACCGGCACACAAACACATCTATGTGTATATACCGCAGGATACGTAAAACCTAATTATATATGTATATATATACATATATACATATCTATATAATATACACATACCATACCATACCGTGCCATGCCATGCCATGCCATGCCAGGCCAGGCCAGGCCATACCATTCCATACCATACCATGCTTACATACGCACATACGTGCCGTCTGCACATAGAGCTTTGCATGCCTGCAATAATAAGGCAGCGAGATTTCGCTAAGTACCTTGCAAGTGGCCGGATGGAAAGGGGCTCCATCGCCTGTCAAACATATCCATACACCTTTGTGTATACTTACACACACCTACACCCCAGCCGGAAGAAATGGCATCTGCAGTCTTTGTCTTGGAGTGCAAGCCACCACCTACAATATGAATACGCTTCTAGCACGCTAGGTCCAGAATTGCGTAGCCATTTTCCAGGCTCTTGATTTAAATTCTGTTCTCAGCGCTTAGGCTGCGCGGCTTGGGCAGCCAGACACGCCATCTATGTATCTGCATTTTTGGCAACTGAATGAACACAAAGGGAGCCGCCTGTATGTTGATATCACTGAAATCCAACCCTCGAGGAACAAAGCAGTCAAAGCTTGCAATGTATAGGGAGAAATCCCCAGGCCTTGGTGAAAAGCTTCTTGCAGTTGTAGGTTTTGAATGGTATGATGGAGTTGAACATGTGGAAAGCCATTCGATCCAGTCCTCGCTTGATGTTCCTCTCTTCCAGGTATTTGTACGCCTTCTCTAGATCGGAAACATGCTCCAGGACATAGGCGAAGTGGTCTGGAACAAAAGACTCTTCGTCGGCGAAGCAATAGGTCTTCATACTCACCTGGCAGGGTCAGGGTCTGCGCCGACACTGCGGATTGCGGAACTCCCTAGCTTGTCCATCTCTAACATCGAACCGTAACTGGCTATCGCTACTCACCATTTTTCCACGTCTTCTTAGCATGAACCTCATAGCTTTCCCATAGCTCCCGATAAGGCCCAGAGTTATCCCCAAAACTGAGGATCTTAAGTGCCTGCAATGCCAAAAGCACCTCATGGCAGCCAGAAGCCAGCTACGAGGCTCTACATTTTACACTGCAAAGCTTACACTTACTGTAGTGAGACTCATAAACTCGTTTAAGCTTCATTCGGTCCTTCAGGAACCCTCCCGCCTTGTTTTTCTTGAGTTGGTTAAGCAACGGGTGGGAGGTGCCCTCGCCGATTCCGGCAAAGGGGATGTGACATTCCTGTGCCGTGCGGGCGCCGCTTGTCTCTGCAATGCTTCGGGTTAACATGGAGATGTGCTTGCACACAGGCATTTGGTTCTTGGAAGGTACCGACAACACTGTGATGCCTTTTATACCAACGTGCCAAAGGTTATAGGGGCAGTGAAGTTGTGAACCATGAAGTCGTATCATCCCACCCTGCCCAAAAGCTGGTCATTGCAGCGAAGATGCGAATTTCGGATCGTCGAAACAGCACACAATCTCTTTCGACTTGTCAGACAGCGGGCAGTGCTGAGTAATCATCTTCTTCTGCTTCACCCACATTTCCCGCATGAACACACTGCCTTTTCGGCCGGCAATGAAGTTTGAGCTGAAGCTGTCCTGAGCGGACGAAATCTGGGACGTGATGCTCTTGCCCCGCAAACCATCTACTAATGCCCCGAACAGCATACTACTTCAAAGGTAAAGTGCATCCTATTTGGGTACACGGACCTATGTAGTATATACTTGGGCATTACAAGGTCACGATACAGGTACTTCAAGGCCTAAGTTTGCACATATATATATATGTATATGGTACCCCCCCGCCCGGTACCTAGGTCTTAGGTGTGCTGTTTTCCCTCAGGAGCATGAACAGCAAAACATGGGTACCGGAGGGAGGGGGCCGACAATGGAAGATGTTGGTCACTTTTTTTTTTGCAATTTCCATGATCCCGAAACTATGGCTCCGCCTACCGAGGTTCTCGACATTCATGGACATTGTTGGTTTGGCAAACATTTCCATGGTTTTCCACAGGCAAATCATGGAAAATGCTAGTTTTACCAACATTTCCAACAGTTTCCATGATTCCCGAAACTACGGCTCCGGCCCTCAGGTTTCTCGTCATTCCATGAAGTGTTTAGGGCTTTAGGGTTTAGGGTTCTAAGAGTTTAGGGTTTAGGGTTTATAGGGTGTTGTAAACTGGTTTCACCAAGGTTTGCCATGATTTCCCACAGACAAATCATGGAAAATGTTGGCTTTACCAACAATTCCACTAGTTTCGATAAGCTTCCAAAACTATATCTCTGGCTCGCGAGGTTTCCCGAAATTCATGAAGCTAGAAAAAAAGGGACTCTGCAATATGCAGAGAGGCACCAAAACGACCTTCCATGTTGTTGCCGGGGAACCACGACAAGCTTCTATAAGGCATTCAACAGGGTATTCCAAATGGTATTCTCTAATGTATATGTACGTTGTATCGGGGTGACCAGTATAAAGTATTCTATAAGGTAGTCTAACAGGTATTCCTTCGGTTATTCCACAAGGTATTGTAGAAGGTATTCGATAGGGTAAGTATAGGAGGCATTTTATAAGGTATTCCGTTCGCTGTACGCATCCCTACGAAACAAGCTTCGATTTGTTCAAGGAGTTCCAACATTCCAGGTGCCGCACCGCGGCCCGTCAAACGGACCATTCGGTCCAACACTCCTTTTCCCGCCCCAAAAGGGTGGATATCCCGGGACGGGATAATAACAACATATAGGTCGCTACTAAACATGTTCAGTGTGTCCAGATTATGTTGGCTTCCTGGGTCTTGTCCACACAACATGCCCAAGGCACATTCATCCAGCACCATCAGTCAGATTCCTCATTAGACAGATATGTAGGTAAGTATGGATGCAAATAACGTGTTTATCCACCAAAACGGATGGATCTTGGGGGGAAGCATATATATATATGTTTATATTTACAATTAGCGACCTGAATCATTTCAATTGTGTCTTCGGGTCTATTTTGCTGCAATTTAATAGGTAATAGGTGGCCCTCAGGAATATTCCTGCAAGTTATTCCGACCCCTACGGCACACATCTTACGACCCCTACAGGCCCTGGAACTCTACCCCGACATACCCACACCCCCAAACCATGCTAGCGTAGGGGCCTGATCGACTAGAACAAGATTTTGAGCAAAAGCGGACATATTATGGTATACTACGGTATACTGATATTCCGGACGGAACCCTACAGGGAATAATGTTGGTAATCTTGGCAAGGGTTATCAAGCCCCCTAGTCCCTTTTTCAGTACGGACTTCCCCCTGTTCCCTAAACCCTGGCGCTTCCACAG